ACACACACACACACACACACACACACACACACAGACACACAGACACAGACACACACACACACACACGCACACAGATGGAAATTAAAGTGTGATTCTGTTAACAGCCTACTTCATTCTGATTGGCTGCTGCACCTGTCAGTCATAGGCTGCAGGTGATTCTTGTGCTGCTGATGGTTTTATGCTGTAACAGCAGACAGGAAGTGATTGATTATGATGTGACACTTGTTATGTAACTCCTCCCCCTCTGGCACTGAACTCTGAATATTGATGATTGATTACACAACTCTGTTTATTTGTGCCGAGGGTCAAAAATACCAATAAACTGACAACAAAGAACCAATTAAAAAACAAATAAACCCATAAAAGAGCGGGAAAGACGCTTTCACTAAAACTTTATTGTCCCAAACTACGCTGCCAACTCTGAGAGACGAAACCGACGAGCAGCAGAGCGATGTGCCCACACGTGGTTCAGTCCCCACAGAGACAGGACTACAAACCTCTGTGTGTGTGCTTTCAGAGTGTATTTCAGTGTGTGTGGTTTCTCTAGTGTCACACTGGGTTTCTATTCCTGGTAGGACAGGAAGTCAAGCTGCTGACATGTTGAAGCTTCACACATGCCTAACTTAGAGCCACAGAAGCAGAAGAGAGTCTGTCGACCAACAGCAGAGACGCCGCGCACAGACACATCCTAATTTGGTGGTGAGACAGTTTTCAGGAAGCTTCGATGTGTAACTTCACACTGACGCTGCCAAACGACGGGTGAAAAGAGGAACTGAAGAAAGGAAGCCGAGGAACCTGAACGCACCACGGAGACTGATGTGAACGCACAAACACAAACCAGAGGCCGCCTCGTTTCACAATGTCCCTGACACACACACACACACAAAAACATATTTCCAGCCCCATCTCGCACAGAGAAGTGGAACACTGAGCAACACAAAACAATTTTACAACCAGTTCAAATCTTTGAATCTGAAAAAGGGAAAGATGAGCTGACGCTGTCAGGAAGTGTGATTCTGTGAACATGCTGCAAAACAGCGCCGCTTCATGTGTTGGAACAAAGCTATTAACTCAGTGGCCCTAACGAGCTAACCACAGCGATCATTGCTGCACACAGGTACCACACCCAGGTACCACACCCAGAACCCGAGAGAACATGTTAGAAAACCTTTTCACTCAGAGGTTGTGTTAGGAGGGAAACTAGGCTCTGTGTGTGGTAAGGGTTCTATGACGACGTTCCCTGTGCGATAAGGGTTCTATGACGACGTTCCCTGTGTGATAAGGGTTCTTTGACGACATTCCATGTGTGATAAGGGTTCTATGACGACGTTCCGTGTGTGATAAGGGTTCTTTGACGACATTCCCTGTGTGATAAGGGTTCTATGACGACGTTCCCTGTGTGATAAGGGTTCTTTGACGACATTCCCTGTGTGATAAGGGTTCTATGACGACGTTCCCTGTGTGATAAGGGTTCTATGACGACGTTCCCTGTGTGATAAGGGTTCTATGACGGCGTTCCCTG